CAGGTTCTCAAGTATTTGCCGTGGGTTCTTTTCAAAGTTTCTTGTATTTATCTCATGATTTTTGACATCTGGTTGCTTGACAAACAGTATACATAACCCAAGGATAAGGCCCACATGAGATTTTTCGCAAAATATTTTTTACTTAATTAACTAGTAAGCCATATGAACAAGCAGGCCATTTACGGTCTAAAGACCTGTCCACTATTGCCATTATTTAACTCAGTGTTATTCAAACTATCTAGGGTAAAGAACTAGCTGTTATTTTGTTGTTTTAATTTCTAATGCTTTGAAAACCAATGCTTTTGTAATCTACAATAAAATGAAGCTTGAGGATTATGGTCGTGTAAAGAGGTAGGCAAGTCCTTTCCTTAAAACACAAGCATAAAACGAGGGCAGGCACAGTGGCTCACGTCTATAATCCCAACACTTTGGGAGGCCAAGGCTGGTGGATTACTTGAGCCTAGGAGTTCAGGACCAAAATGGGCAATATGGCAACACCCCAGTCTCTACAAAAAAATTTTTAAAAACTAGCTGGGGATGGCGGCTCACACCTGTGGTCCCCGCTACTCGGGAGGCTGAGGTGGGAGGATCATCTGAGCCTGGGAGGCAGAGGTTGCAGTGAACCATGATCGCGCCGCCACTGCACTCCAGTCTGGGTGACAGAGACCCTGTCTCAAAAACAAACAAACAAAAAAATGTGTAAAGCAACCATTTCAGGGCTCTGGAAATCAACCAAAGGCAGAAAACAAATTATTGGGAAACTGCTAAAGCTTAAAGTAAGAGCAGTGAAGTCCGTGTCTTTCTTTGCCTAGAGTAGGGCTGCTCCCATTCCCCATCTCCAGCTTTCTCGAGAACAGTTAACTTTACCAGGGCTGGGCTAGCCATGACAATCAGCAGCTTTACTGACAACAGGGCTAACTTGATTTGAAAAGGACTTGAAACCCCACAGCTCTGTCAGCTAACGCAAGAACTCAGCAGGAAATAAACAGAAAACTTGCAGTTTTACTAGTTGGGGTCTTGGTTGGGTGAGTGATAAACAAGTAGGAAATTTAAAACGGAAATCCTGTAAATGAACAGGCCACAGAAAAGCTAGATAAGCTCTCTACCATCCCTAGCTAAACAGAAAACTAGATAAATGCATAAAGGAGACCTAAGAGAAGCTATAGGAAAGTAAAAGTCAAAGCAGACTTGAGAATGGTCTGAACTTTGAATGTATTCCTCAGCCTACATAGATCAATCAGCAGAGGATGAAAGCCTTACGGGCTTGAGGTGTCAGAGCAAAACCTCTGCCCAAATAACTTGCTGATCACTAAGCACTGCAGACACAGAGGCAATCCCAAGAAGCCAGGCTAAAAAGTAAAAACTAGATTTTTTTTTTTTTTTTTTTTTTTAAGCACAGATGTATTACTGGCTGTACACTTGGAGGAGGAAGATTCTTAAGTCCAGAAAATTATTTTTTTTTTTCAAATACTCTCAGAAAATAAAATGAGAATCTAGAGTTAGCACAATACATTACCTAAATGAAAGAAAAAAGTAAGGGAGGGAGGGAATAAAGGAAGAAGGAAAGAGTGACTCATACATATTAAAAACCCCAAATACCAATAAATATAAATTGAATTTTTTTTTTTTTTGAGACAGAGTTTCACTCTGTTACCCAGGATGGAGTGCAGTGGCATGATGTCGGCTCACTGTAACCTCTGCCTCCTGGGTTCAAGACATTCTCCTGCCTCAGCCTCCTGAGTAGCTGGGATGACAGGTGCACACCACCATGCCCGGTTAATTTTTGTATTTTTAGTAGAGACGGAGTTTCAGCATGTTGTTCAGGCTGGTCTCGAACTCCTGACCTCATGATCTGCCTGTCTCGGCCTCCCAAAGTGCTGGGATTATAGGAGTGAGCCACAGTGCCCGGCCTTAGAAAACTGATTCTTGAGAGGGTCCAGTTGATGGACTTACTAAGACTTCAAAACAACTAATATAAATATGTTCAAAGAAGTACAGAAAAGTACATCAAATTATTTCAAATAATTAAAGGAAAATATAATTGCAATGACTCAACAAATTGGGAACCTCAATAAGGAAACTTTAAAAAAAAAAAAAAGAAGGAAAATTCCTTTTTTTTTTTTGAGATGGAGTGTTGCCTAGGTTGGAGTGCAGTGATGTGAATCTTGGCTCACTGCAACCCCTGCCTCCCACGTTCAAGTGATTCTCTTGCCTCAGCCTCCCAAGTAGCAGGGACTACAGGTTTGTGCCATCACAACTGGCTAATTTTTGTATTTTTAGTAGAGACAGTTTCACCATGTTGGCCAGGCTGGTTTTGAACTCCTGATCTCAAGTGATCCGCCCACCTCGGCCTCCCAAAGTGCTGGGATTATAGGCATAAGCCACTGTGCCCGGCAAGAAATGAAGGGAAATTCTAATTGAAAATACAATACCAGAAGAAAAATTCACTAGACAGACTTAACAGCAGATCCGAAACAGCAGAAGGAACAGTAAACTTGAAAAGAGATCAACAGAAATTAAACAATCTAAAGAGCAGGGAAAGAAAAAAAACACTGGGAAAAAAGGAACAGAGCCTCAGTCACCTGGTAGGGAAACATCAAGCTTACTTATATATGTGTAATAGAATCCCAAGGAGAGGAAAGAGAAATATTTTTTTGGAGAAATAATGGCCAACATTTGAGGAAATTCCCAAGAGATCCATACTAAGATGTATCATAGCCAAACTGCTAAAACAAAGGAAAATATTGACAGCAACAGGAGAAGAATGACTCATTACAACAGAGGAACAATATGACATATTGTGTGGAATGGCATATTCTACGTACTGGAACAAAACATTATCAATGAAAAATTTTTTTTTTTTTTTTTTTTTGAAATGGAGTTTTGCTCTGTCGCCCAGGCTGGAGTGCAGTGGTGCAATCTTGGCTAACTGCAACCTTTGCCTCCCAGGTTCAAGCAATCCGCCCACCTTCAGCAGGTGCTGCCACACCTGGCTGATAATTTTTATATGTAGCAAAACTACCCTTTGGAAATACAGCTGGGCATGGTGGCTCACGCCTCTAATCTTAGCACTTTGGAAGGCTGAGGTGGGCAGATCACTTGAAGTCAGGAGTTTGAGACCAGCCTGACCAACATGGTGAAACCCTGTCTCTACTAAAAATACAAAAAAAAAAAAAAATTAGCTGGGCATGGTGGTATGGGCCTGTAGTCCCAGCTATCAGGAGGTTGAGGCAGAATCTTCTGAACCTGGGAGGCAGAGGCTGCAGTCAGCCAAGATTGTGCCGCTGCACTCCAGCCTGGATGATAGAGTGAGACTCCATTAAAAAAAAAAAGAATAAATTATTTAGCAATAAACTTAAGAAAAAAATGCAAGAGTTGTACATTTAAATCTGTAAACCACTGCTGAGAGAAATTAAGATCTAAATAAATGCAGAGATATAGTAGTAAGTTCATGAACTGAAAGCCTCCATAGTGTTAAGATGACAGTTCTACACAAACTGGCCTACTGATTCAGTGCACTCTCTATCAGATTCCAAGCAGATATTTTTGTAAGAACTGATAATCTGATTCTAAATTTTATATGTAAATGCAAAGAAACCAAAATAGCCCAAAAAATTCTGGAGGGAAAAATCATTGGAGGATGTATCTTCCTTACTTATTAAACTATATTTACTATAAAGCCATACTAATCAATACAGTGTACTAGCATAAAGACAGATATATGTATCAATGTAACAGAAGAGAGTCCAGAAATAAATCTTCACATGGTCTACTGCTTTTCAACAAAGGCATCAGGGCAATTCAATGGAGGAAAGGACAGCCTCGCCAACAAAACGTGTTGTAACAACTGGATATCCACATGCAAAAAAGTAAACTTAGACGCTTACACCTCATATAAAAACTAACTCAGCTGGGCGTGGTGGCTCACGCCTGTAATCCCAGCACTTTGGGAGGCCGAGGCAGGCGGATCACGAGGTCAGGAGTTCAAGACCAGCCTGGCCAAGATGGTGAAACCCTGTCTCTACTAAAAATACAAAAATTAGCCAGGCTTGGTGGCGGGTGCCTGTAATCCCAGCTACTCGGGCGGCTGAAGCAGAGAACTGCTTGAACCTGGGAGGCAGAGGCTGCAGTGAGCTGAGATTACGTCACTGCACTCCAGCCTGGGTGACAGAGGGAGACTCCATTTAAAAACAAAACAAAACAAAACTAACTCAAACAGGATCACAGACTTTAAAATATACAAGATAAAACTATAAAACTGGGAAAAAGTCTTTCTGACTTTGAGTTAGGCAGATAATTCTCAGACATGATACCAAAACCCAATCTATAACAGGAAAAAAAAAAAAGATAAATTGGGCTTCATCAAAATTTAAAACTTCCACTCTTTAAAAGACATCATTAAGAATTTTTTTTTTGAGACGGAGTCTCACTCTGTCGCCCAGGCTGGAGTGCAACAGCAGGATCTCGGTTCACTGCAACCTCCACCTCCCGCGTTCAAGTGATTCTCCTGCCTCAGCCTCCTGAGTAGCTGGGATTACAGACGACTGCCACCACACCCAGCTAATTTTTGTATTTTTAGTAGAGACGGGGTTTCACCAGGTTGGCCAGCTGGTCTTGAACTCCTGACCTCAGGTGATCCACCTGCCTCGGCCTCCCAAAGTGCTGGGATTACAGGCATGAGAAACTGTGCCCAGCCCATTAAGAAAATTAAAAGACAAGCCACGGAATGGGAGAATATACTTGCCAAGCATGTACCTGATACAGAACTTGTATTCAGAATATACAAAGAACTCTTAGAATTCAATAAGACTCCAAAATTTTCAAACGGATCAAGATTGAACAGACATTTCACCAAAAAAATACAAAAATGGCTAAAAATCACATGAAAAGATGGTCAACATCATTAGTCATTAGGGAAGTACAAATCAAAACCACAATGAGATACCACTATACATCTATTAAGATAGCTATAATAAGAAAAAAAAAAAGACTGACCATACCGAGTGTTGGTGAGGATATGGAAAATACGAAATCCTGATACATGGCTGGTGAGATTGTAAAACTGTATAATATCGCCACCTTGGAAAACAGTCTCGAAGTTTCTTACAAAGTTAAAGAACTCCACTCCTAAGTATCTCCACAAGAGAAATGCAAACATATGTCACATAAAGACTTGTAAGCAAATGTACATAACTGACAATCATTTATAACAGCACAAACTACAACCCAAAATGAATAGCAACTGGTAAATGGATAAATATGTTATAACAATACTACTCAGTAGTAAAAAGGAGCAAACTACTGACACATTCAACAATATGGAAGAATCTTAAAAACATTACACTAAGTGAAAAGAAGCCAGACATAAAAACTATATTGCACTAATATGTGTATATGAAATTTCTAGAAAACGCAAAAATAAAGTGACAGAAGATCAATGTTTGCTTGTGGCTGGGGTAGGGAGCAGGAATTGATCACAAACAAGAGAATACTGGGGGATAAGGAAAAGAAGGTTTTGTTTTTGTTTTCTTAAGACACATGGTCCCGCTCTGTCACCCAAGCTAGAGTGTAGTGATCACAGCTCACTGCAGCCTCAAATTCCTGGGCTCAAGTAATCTTCCCACCTCAGCCTCCCAAATAGCTGGGACTATAACAGGCATGTGCCACTATAATTGGTTAACTTTTTTATTTTTTGTAGAAACAGAGTCTTTTTTTTTTTTTTTTTTTTCTTTTTTTTTTTTTGAGATGGAGTTTTGCTCTTGTTGCCCAGGCTGGAGGGTGATCTCAGCTCACCGCAACCTCCACCTCCCGGTTCAAGCGATTCCCCTGCCTTAGCCTCCTGAGTAGCTGGGATTACAGGCATGCGCCACTACACCCAACTAATTTTTTTTTTTTTTTTTTTTTTTTAGCAGAGACGGGGTTTCTCCATGTTGGTCAGGCTAGACTGGAACTCCCAAACTCAGGTGATCCGTCCGCCTTGGCCTCCCAAAGTGCTGGGATTACAGGCGTGAGCCACCATGCCCGGTTAAGACAGAGTCTTACTATGTTGTCCAGGCTGATCTCGAACTCCTGGCTTCAAGTCATTCTCCTGCCTCAGCCTCCCTAAGTGCTGAGATTATAGGCTTTAGCTACCACACCCAGTCAGAAAGTGTTTTAAAACAAGATTTTGGTGATGGTGCACAACTCCATAAATTTACTAAAAATAATCAAATTATACACTTGGGCACATTTATACCTCAATAAAACTGTTTTTAAAAGGGCTGAGATGTTGCCACACTGTCAAATCACTATCAAAGAGTTCTTAAACACACTTCATTTCTATATACTTCTCCAGTTCACAGACAGGAATAGGGTCTAGAGACCACACTCTTAAGAAGCACAGCTCTGACTTCCGCTAGATATTGGCTAATAGGCTTGGAGTAATCAATAGTTTTAACTGAAACTGACTTAATTTAATTTAAGCTGTTAAAGTTTAACTCCACTAAGTATTTCATTAAAAAAGGAATTTACAAGTATTACTGACAAAAGGAAAATATGAAAACATGGTCTATTGCTGAATAAAAGCATAACTCATTATAAAATAAGAGTCTATAAATGAAATACCACCAAGAACAATGACTACCATAGACCCTTTTTTTTTTTTTTGAGATGGAGTCTGTCACCCAGGCTAGAGTGCAGTGGTGTGATCTCAGCTCACTGCAACCTCCGCCTCCTGGGTTCAAGGGATTCTCCTGCCTTAGCCTCCCGAGTAGCTGGGACTACAGGCGTGTGCCACCACGCCCAGCTAATTTTTTTATTTTTAGTAGAAATGGGGTTTCACCATCTTGGCCAGGCTGGTCTCGAACTCCTGACCTTGTGATCCACCTACCTCGGCCTCCCAAAGTGCTGGAATTACAGGCGTGAGCCACCACACCTGGCCAACCCTTCTTTTTAATGTAGTATAATCAAGTAGATAAAGTCAGTATATTTACAGATTAGACTACTAAAACCCAAAGCAATGAAACTTTAAACATATAAATGAATAAATGGAATACTGTAATATTATATATTTCATGGGACCAAATATCAGACATGCAAATGAATTACATGAATAGATTTGTTTCAGAGAAAGTCCCAACAACATGTAAGCTTTACTTTGTTTCCAATTAAGTGTAAATCTAGGCTAAGTTCAACCAAACTGGTAAGCACTTAGTGTCTATGTTACAGTCTAAAATTTAAATTCATTTTATAGTAATATTTAAATTCATTTTATAGTAATTAGATACCAGTTACAAAAAGCAACTGATGGGGACAGGAGGCAAAGAAATTCTAGGCAGAAAAGGGTGGGTCACCGGTGAAAACCCCACCCTCAAGCCAAAATGCCTGAAACCTCGGCCCAAAGTGAGAACTTATATCCCCGTTTTCCTGTTTGAATGTTTTCCTAAACCACCCATGGCCCTGCCTTGCCCCATTCTGTGCCTATAAAGACCCCAGACTCGGCCGGGCGTGGTGGCTCAAGCCTGTAATCCCAGCACTTTGGGAGGCTGAGACAGGCGGATCACGAGGTCAGGCGATCGAGACCATCCTGGCTAACACAGTGAAACCCCGTCTCTACTAAAAAATACAAAAAACTAGCCGGGCGAGGTGGCGGGTGCCTGTAGTCCCAGCTACTCGGGAGGCTGAGGCAGGAGAATGGCATAAACCCGGGAGGTGGAGTTTGCAGTGCGCTGAGATCCGGCCACTGCACTCCAGCGCGGGCGACAGACCAAGACTCCGTCTCAAAAAACAAAAAAAAAAAAAAAAAAAAAAAAAGACCCCAGACTCAGCCAGCAGAGAGGAGAACCAGCTGGACGTCAGGATGTTGGAGAGAAGCGGGTTGACTTTAGAGGGACAGCTTGATGGTGTAACTTTGGAGAAAAATTTAGCTGGAGACAGCTGGACTTCAGGGAAAGATTACCTACCCCCACCCCCACCAACCCCTTTTCAGCTCCCCTTCCTGCTAAAAGCCACTTTTATCAGCAATAAAATCTCCTGCATTTACCATCCTTCAATTCATTCGTGTGACCTCATTTTTCCTGGACGCCAGACAAGAGCTCAGGAGCCACGAGTGCTGATACAAAAGGCTGTCACACTGGCCCTTTGCCCTTGCTGGCAGAGGGCAGCCACCCCACACAATGGGGCAAAGGGCCCACTGAGCTGTTAACACTTAAGCCGTCCACAGATGGCAGAACTAAAAGAGCACTGTAACATGCCCTCTGGAGCCTTGGGAGTCACAGGCACCCCACAGCCTGGACGCTGCCACAGCAGCCAGCTGGTTGCAGCACTTAAGCCCTCCAGTTCCTGCCTTGTTCACCCACACTCTTCTTCCCGTGAGCAGTTGAGAGAGGCAGGCTGAGCAAAGGAGAGACTCCTGCAAAGGGGTCAGGGAAATATCCTGCTTCACAATGATACTTTTTTTACAGCTCTGGCAAAACACAGACATGAAATAAAGACTCTCTCATTTTAAAAAGGTCAAAGCAATTTGCTGAAGTTAACTTTTTTTAGGAAAAATTAAATGCTCAACTTTTCCAGAACCCTATTTTTACTATACTATTTCTCATTTGCAGGGCAAAAACAGATGCTCAATGTTTCAAGCATAACTGGGAAAAAAACAAACTGAATTATAACAACTAAGAAAAAACAAACTTGGGTTATAAAAAAAAAAACCTTTTCCGTTGGTAAATTTCATTCCACGGAACAGTTCAGCTTTAGTAATCTAAGCATTCCCTAGAGCTCAGAGTCTTCCTATAGATTTACTACACAATGAAACTATAACTTTCGAAACCACAAATCTGGCTTATTTACTTTCTTATGAGGTTTTTGAATTACCAAGTCAAAATCAGCTTTAAAAGCATTTTCTTCATATTTAACATGTGAGACCTGGATCTATGAAGCTTTGTTTTGAATTAAAGAACATTAACTTTGAACTGGAAATTAAATTGAATGAGGGGAAAATGCCAGGTATCTATGATCATTCTTTTAATCAATATATACCAGTTATGTACAATAGTTCTAGTGCTATTGTTCACTTTGTCCCTTTAAATTTTTGCAGCTTTCTAGAAAAGTAGAAAAAGGTTTTGCAGAATCTTTGTTGTCCTTCCCTCCATTATAACTACCCTTCTATTTCCTGACTCTTTGCACCCTGTATTTCACTTTAGATAAGAAGCTAGAGGAACAATCCTGGAAGGAAAGCTAAAGAAGGGAATAAAAACCAGAAGCATTTACTCTTGCTCCACTGCCTTTCTCTAGAAAAATGTCAACTCAAACAGCATACAACATCCTGCAACAAGCTAGTCCTCTTACCACATCTCCGTAACATATGTTCAGTATTCAAAAATGCATCTTCAAGATAGTAAGTATATCACAATTTGATAAGTTTGTGTGAGTAGAAAAGCTATTGTTATATGAATTAATTCTCAGACTGGTAATACACAAAGCTGTAATCTAATATCCATATATACTTGTAAAACCATTCAAAACACATTAGGACAGTTTTTAAATATACAGCTATAAATGAGGATCATTATAACTATGCTTTTAACAATTTATGCCCACATGTATCTTACCCTTCTGGCTCTGTTTCCTGGACATTGCCGTTTCTTCAATCTCAAAAAATATACAAGAAAAGTATCCTTTTGCCTTGTCTGGATTTTGAGTGTAGGTATCTCTGATTTAAAAGTGGGCAATGGAAGTGTGCAGTTGGAAGCAAAAAATACGAAATCCTACTGTTGGAAATTCTGCTCACTAGCTGTCAATCTCCTTTCCTTTTCTTGTATCGACTTCTTATCAGGAAGTATCATTGCAGATATTCATGTCTTCTTTTCCAGGGAGATTCTGGAGGGAAAAACACACACATATACTATTACAGTAATGACTATCTGTACAAAATTTCTGAGATATCCACAAGGTTTCTTTTGTATTTCTGTGTACAAAACTAGTTTTAAGTACTATAGAAACAATGTAGCTGCTGAAAAGCAGAATTTTTCTTAAGAAAACTTAATCTTAGAATCAGATTATCCCCTTAGTTTAGAAAGTATGTTCTCTTAGTCTTCTTATCTTTTGTATCCATCTGAAATATCCCCATCTCTGCTTCGCAAACTAAAATGTTACCTCTTACCACTCCCCAAGATCTTTCTTTTTTTTTTTTTGAGATGAAGTCTTGCTCTGTCCCCAGGCTGGAGTGTAGTGGCGTGATCTTGTCTCACTGCAACCTCTGCCTCCCAGGTTCAAGTGATTCTCCTGCCTCAGCCTCCCGAGTAGCTGGGACTACAGGTGTGCGACACCACGCCCAGCTAATTTTTGTATTTTTAGTAGAGGCAGGGTTTCACCATATTGATCAGGATGGTCTCTTATCTCTTTACCTCGTGATCCATCTGCTTTGGTCTCCCAAAGTTCTGGGATTATAGGCATGAGCCATCTGATCTTGCCATCCAAATCAAGGGTCTATTCTCTTCCTCTAGAATTTCTTTTTGTTTTGTTTTTTGTTTGAGACGGAGTTTCGCTCTTGTTGCCCAGGTTGGAGTACAATGGTGTGATCTCGGCTCACTGCAACCTCCGCCTTCCGGGTTCAAGCGATTCTCCTGCCTCAGCGTCCTGAGTAGCTGGGATTACAGGCACCCACCACCACACCTGGCTAATTTTTTGTATTTTTTTTTTTTTTTTTTTTAGTAGAGATGGTGTTTCACCATATTAGCTAGGCTGGTCTCTTGACCAGGCTGGTCTCAAGCTCCTGACCTCGTGATCTGCCTGCCTTGGCCTCTGAAAGTGCTGGGATTACAGGTGTGACCCTAGAATTTCTTTTCTTTTCTTTTTTTTTTTTTTTGAGACGGAGTCTCGCTCTGTCACCCAGGCCGGAATGCAGTGGCCGGATCTCAGCTCACTGCAAGCTCCGCCTCCCAGGTTTACACCATTCTCCTGCCTCAGCCTCCCGAGTAGCTGGGACTATAGGCGCCCGCTACCTCGCCCAGCTAGTTTGTTGTATTTTTTTAGTAGAGATGGGGTTTCACCGTGTTAGCCAGGATGGTCTCGATCTCCTGACCTCGTGATCTGTCTGTCTCGGCCTCCCAAAGTGCTGGGATTACAGGCTTGAGCCACCCCGCCCGGCCTAGAATTTCTTATATCTAACCTCTTCTCAGGTTTCCCAGCTCAAATACAGCTGTAAAAAATATATGGGGGTGGGATGTGAAATGATGAGAAACACACTCACCGTACCAACCCAAAGAATGGACTTAGAGGCTCGAAAAACAGCAAATGTGAGACTTTTTAATAATGGTCTAGCCAGGTGCAGTGGCTCATGCCTGTAAGCCCAGCACTTTGGGAGGCTGAGGCAGGCAGATCACCTGAGGTTGGGAGTTCAAGACCAGCCTGACCAACATGGAGAAACCCCGTGTCTACCAAAAATACAAAATTAGCTGGGCATAGTGGTGCATGCCTGTAATCCCAGCTACTCAGGAGGCTGAGGCAGGAGAATCGCTTGAACCCAGGAGGCAGAGGTTGTGGTGAGCCAAGATCGCGCCATTGCACTCCAGCCTGGGCGACAAGAGCGAAACTCCATCTCAAAAAAATAAATAAGTAAATAATAATAATAATGGTCTTGCAAGATCAGGTGTTTGGTGGGCAAGCACACTGGGAAGTCACAACAGGTAATCTATCTCTTAGCGTACAAGTCCCTCCGCCAGTTCCTCAGTGGTTGAGTACTGTGGGGTGACAATCTTCCTGGACGTTGCCAAAGTTTATTATCCCCCTTATAAGGTTATACCCCATTCCCTTCCCCTCTTAAGTTTTGATTTCTCAATAAGGAAACTTTCTTCCCTTTTATGGGCGGATCCCTCCTCTACATTCGGTTCACTTATTGTGACCTCCTAGGCGCATGAGCTGTGTGGTTTGTTACATTTGCAGGCCAGCTGCCAGTACTTAGATTTATCATGCCTTGAAAACAAACCATTTAAAATGTTTTTTCACATGAAAGGAGGGAAGTGCAAAGGAATTTTAACATGGAAAACTGAAATATCAAAATGAGATTAGTCCATACTGCAGGAAGCTCCTTTAAATTACAAACATGCAAATGTTGTTTTTCTATATTAGTAAACATTTTAAAGATACATGCCCAAGATTCCTGGGTAAAAAAAACCGTAAGTTCCTGCCAGCAGAGATGGGCTAACAATTAAAATAAATAAATAAATAAAAAAGGAGATGGAACCTGCAACCTCCACCTCTCGGGTTCAAGTGATTCTCCTGCCTCAGCCTCCCGAGTAGGTGGGATTATAGGCATCCGCCACCACGCCCAGCTAATTTTTGTATTTTTAGTAGAGATGGGGGCTCACCATGTTGGCCAGGCTGGCCTTGAACTCCTGACCTCAAGTGATCTGCCCACCTCAGCCTCCCAAAGTGCTAGGATTACAGGCGTGAGCCACCGCGCATGGCCAATTTTTTTTTTTTTTTTTTTTTTACTCTAGAGACAGAGTCATGCTCTTGTTGCCCAGGCTAGAGTGCAATGGTGCCATCTTGGCTCACTGCAACCTTCGCCTCCTGGGTTCAAGCGATTATCCTGTCTCAGCCTCCCAACGAGCTGGGACTACAGGCACCTGCCACCACACCCGACTAATTTTTGCATTTTTAGTAGAGACAGGGTTTCGCCATGTTGGCCAGGCTGGTCCTGAGGTCCTGACCTCCAGTAATCCGTCTGCCTCGGCCTCCTAAAGTGTGGGATTACAGGCATGAGCCATCATATCTAGCTGAATTTTTTTTTTTTTTTTTTTTGAGACAGAGTCTTGCTGTTTGGCCCAGGCTGGACTGCAGTGGTGTGATCTCGGCTCACTGCAAGCTTCACCTAAGGGTTCACGCCATCCTCCTGCCTCGGCCTCCTGAGTAGCTGGGACTACAGGTGCCCGCCACTGCGCCTGGCTAATTTTTTGTATTTTTAGTAGAGACGGGGTTTCACCGTGTTAGCCAAGATGGTTTCGATCTCCTGACCTCGTGATCCACCTGCTTCGGCCTCCCAAAGTGCTGGGATTACAGGCATGAGCCACTGAGCCCGGACGAAAAATAATAATTTTTTAAAGCATAGGATGATACAACTCTTATACCTGGACAGCTGACTGGAAAAACGTTTACAAAATGAAATGCAAGAAGGAAAGGAGAGTACGCTTATATGAAATATTTTCCAATTTGAAAAGAGGAGACTGAAGAGTCAAGAGGCAATTCTGTGAAAGTTTTAAAAATATTCCATCAAGATTAAGAACTTCTACAAACCACAGTGGGACCTCAGGAAAAGCAGTGTGAGTATTTGAAACTTATAATCTTCCAGAACACTGAGCCAAGTTGAGAGAACCAGCCAAAGCCTACGGAAATACATGGAATATACCCCCTGGATATGGCACACTTAAAAAGATTTTAGAAAAAAGAACAGAACTCAGATCTGCCAAAAATAACTGAACCCTTCAGTGGCAAGCTTCTCAACAGCACATATCCTCAGGTTAAAGAGGATGAGGCCAGGCATGGTGGCCCACGCCTGTAATCCCAGCACTTTGGGAGGCCGAAGCAGGTGGATCACCTGAGGTAGACCAGTCTGACCAACATGGTGAAACCCCACCTCTACTAAAAACACAAAATTAGCTGGGCATGGTGGTGCATGCCTGTAATCCCAGCTACTCGGGAGGCTGAAGAAGGAGAATTGCTTGGACCTGGGAGGTGGAGGTTGCAGTGAGCCAAGATCACACCACTGCATTCCAGCCTGGGCAACAAGAGCAAAACTCCATGTCAAAAACAGAAAAGAAAAAGAAAAAGAAAAATGAAAAGAGGATGAAAGCAACAATCGACAACTAACCATAGTGGATGAGCAGGGGTGGGTGAGATAGGTCCCAAAGAAGACTAGAAACATATCAAGGATATTTCATCTATACTCTGTAGCTACAAACAAAAAGGTGTAAACAGAGCTATCCACATGTAACATGAAGAAGATAAACAAAAATGACATAGCAACTATCAAACCTACTATAAAAAAAGAGAAATACAATGAGAGAAGAAATTTCCATGCAACAGATGAAGAACCCAATCTGGAAAACAATATAAGCCCTCAAACCAAAAGTAGGTTCCTCCTTGAATACTTATTTGAATATTTCAAATGAGAATGTGAATTCAAGCTGAATTTTTAAAAAAACTATAGGTCGGGAGCAAGATGGCCGAATAGGAACAGCTCCAGCCTCCAGCTCCCAGAGTGAGCGACACAGAAGACGGGTGATTTCTGCATTTTCAACTGAGGTACCAGGTTCATCTCACTGGGAAGTGCTGGACAATTGGTGCTGGTCAGCTGGTGCAGCCCGACCAGCCAGAGCTGAAGCAGGGTGAGGCATCACCTCACCTGGGAAGTACAAAGGGGAAGGGAATCCCTTTTCCTAGCCAAGGGAAACTGAGACACACAACACCTGGAAAATCAGGTAACTCCCACCCTAATACTGTGCTTTACCAAGAGTCTTAGCAAACGGCACACCAGGAGATTATATCCCACACCTGGCCCTGAGGGTTCCACGCCCATGGAGCCTCCCTCATTGCTAGCACAGCAGTCTGAGATCTAACTGCAAGGCGGCAGCGAGGCTGGGGAGGGGTGCCCACCATTGCTGAGGCTTCAGTAGGTAAACAAAGCCACGGGGAAGCTTGAACTGGGTGGAGCCCACCACAGCTCAGGGAGGCCTGCCTGTCTCTGTAGACTCTACCTCTGGAGACAGGGCATAGTTAACAAAAAGCAGCAGAAACCTCTGCAGATGTTAATGACCCTGCCTGACAGCTTTGAAGAGAGCAGTGGATCTCCCAGCATGGAGGCTGAGATCTGAGAACGG